GATGAAATATCAAGCGTTAAATAGCAGAATACTCGTGTACTTTCTAAATTATTTTGTTTAAATTTAAAAATTAAGAAAAAATTCTAAGTTCAACGCAAAAACATTTTGAAGAAAATAAATTTTGAGCTAAAACTGAATCCCAGGTACCCTTTTTATTGAACTATTATCAAACTATCTCATTTATTCTTTATTTATATTTATGTAACAGAAAAGTCTACGGTACAATATTTTACAAAAAGAAAACTAATTTGGAATTCAATTCAAAAGCACGAACAAATGCTCAATAACTCAACGCAAAATTACGAAACTTTATCCAAAAGTAGTGTCACAACTACTATATTAGACCGTCCTTCAAAAACTGTTTGGTTGCCTCTCTGGCTAAAAATAGCCTGACTCGATTCAATACCTTTTTTAACCGCCATTAGCAATTATTCTTTATAAGTTCTCTGGAAAATTTACTTCCAAAAATTAGCATTAAAATTGAAATTTTTTGAGAGAAAAAATGCTCATCTAACTACCGACCCAATATTTTCAGACTGAGTCGAGAGAGGGCTTGCAAACATTTTTCTAAAGTTGGCCTTATCTTTAACAATTAAATATTTTTATCAAAGCTTTAAATATTAATCCATCTATGTTCTTCAGTTTAATCAAGAACATGTATATGCAATGCTGTATAAAGTATTTCATAAAAACAATGCTGGGCCTTGTCTATAGTCGCACCACAAGTATATTCCAAAGACGTAATAATGTTTCTCGTGTTTGATGCAACATCTGATGTATAAGATTACAAAAAAAAATGAAATAAAAAATGGACAAATTCATTTCAATGCTATACTGCAACTCAAAGAAAAACCGTTTATAGCACAAATAAGTCAAGATTTTTGAAACAAACATGTAAGAGATTAAAAATATGATGAATTGAAAAATTAGAGCAGAAATATAACTTTGAAACGATGTCGATAATCTCTTTCCAAACAATGTTATACCAAGCCTAAGGTTTTGTTTATTAAATAGTTCAAAAAGAATTTTTCATTTAATCCAATGAAATTTAAGGCAAAAATTAACAGAAAAAGCAGAATTTGTTCGGTAATTTTTGTTGAGAACATTTGACATTTAAAAAAGATTGTTGTGACATTACTTTTGGATTAATACTAATACAAATGCCAATACTGATTAAAATAAAAAAGTAAGAGAAACAATATATAATGTTATTCACCTGAAGTAAATGCAAGAAAATTAAATATATAAATATTTCTTTCATGATTATCATGAACAGAATTTTCAAAAAATCTTGTCTTCTTTTTTTAATATTGAAGACGCCAATCCTCGCAAAATCATTTTCAAATTCATTGAACTGAAAACTTAGAGAAAATGACAAAATTTTTATTCTTGTTTAGATAATCACAAAATAAAAATACCTATAGGTATTTAAAGTAAAAACACTTGCGTAGAACCCTTCAGAGTGAAATGTAAGGAAGTCAGATTTACGTTTTTATATCTCTTTTTCTACGAACATTTTGACATAAAAACTGAGTAAAAATCTTTTGAAAAGTATTAATGGTTGCTGAAATTAGTAAAACTTCAATCATTTTGCCCTTTAAAGAATAATGTGCGAATATCTTTTTTTAACCTATGTAATTTAAAAAAAATTCAAAACTAGGAATGATTATTGAAATAATTCTTATGGAACAAACATTAATCATAATCATAATCCTTTAATTAATTTCTTCCATTGATGAAGGTAGCATCATATTTTTTTATTATATAAAATGCCCTATTTTTGTGTTTCTAATTATTCTATGCAAAGTGTAAACGTAGAAGACAAAGTAAATAGTTTGGAATTGTAAATACATATAGGTATATTCTTAAATTTTAAACTATAATTACATATATCTTTAATTCTCAAGGTTCTTTATCCGCATAAAAAAAATAAAAATACGAGTTTCAATTTTATTTTTTAAGCTTTGTTTGGTTTATAAACCAAAAAAGAAATATAACAAAAAATTAAAAATAAATATATAAGCATACAGAATCATTTATTTATGCTTTTAAATTTAAACGAGAGAGAGAAGAAAATCAATATGAACTTATATCTGTTAATGGTGAATTAAAAACTTATCTGGACACCACGCATTATTCGAAAATTAATATTTTAAAGTACTTTAGGGAAAAATCTTTTCATATCATGATTGATTTACTTTGTATTATCACTTACGTCTACAGAGAACGTCTGCTACTTAAATACGATTTCGGTACTTATTTTTGAGATATAATGCAGTTCGCAAAAAAATGTCATTAAAGCTCAAAAATAGTAAATAGAAGAAGAGTTGAACTTTGATTCCAATGCTAATCAAAAATATGACTAATCAAATAAGGACCTGAAAAAGCTTTCAATTTTTGTACTGTTTTACACTCTTCTTCTTACACCCATGTTTCCTTTGGTGAATATTGCATTTCACAAACCTGTTACTTTTCCTGAAAACGTGATTTAGTAAAAAAAAAAAAAAAAAAAGATAGCGTTTTAAATAGATGAAAAGTGCATTAACTGCTGTAGGGGATAACATTTTTAAAACAAACTATTTTTCTGCAGTTTAATTGTCTATAAAACTCGTTAAATTCAAGAGAGATGTTTGTAGCAAAGTGCATTGAACGCAGATGACGATGTAAAAAGCTTCAAATGATAAATGTGATTCTCCAACTAAATTATATAATATCCGCTAAAAAATTAATTATGAAAGAAGTAAGAAAGAAATACGCAAAGAACTATATGTGGTATATTACAAATCTTAGCCCCCACAAAAGTCAAATTTTGAACATTTTTATTTATCACTACTACTTTGCATAATTTGGCTCCTTTTTTTCTGCAGGAGCACATCCATCTCTGTTTTAACACTACAAGAAGGCAAAGGTGTTTGGTCAATATTCATGTCTACTCCTCTCCCGATTCGTTTCTGACTTTGCCGACAAAAAAGCCTATAATTTAGTTGATTTCGTTATCACTCAACACCTAGACGTCCTTTTAGCCTAAACACATGAACGTTGGATGTTGGTAGCATTCTCTCTGTCAATAAAAGAACATAATAACTGCTCGTTTACATTTTTGCTCAGATAAGTCCCTTTATGTCTGTCTGCCTACCACTTATAATTAGAAATAGAACAACTCCTCCATAAAGATAAAACAGGTCATTTATTGAATATAAATGACAATAAACAAATAAAATACACACAATAGCCTGTTGCATGAAATACACAGTATGCTCAATTAAAAAGCATGCAACTAGGCTAAGTTATTAATCATCTAAATGTTGTTGATTTAATAACTGAAATCTTTCCACATTCCCTTTGTTTTTCTGCATCATTGAAATGCCTTGACTAAAATTGAGAAATATTTTAGGAAAAAACTTCATTTTCTTGACAATTAATCATGGGCTCAAAATTCAAAATATTGCTTGAGAATAATATTGCATTGCTCTTCATATCTGAATTGTTTTGCATCAAAAATATGCTTTCTCCAAGGGGAGGAAACATGCTTTCAACATTCACAATCACGTCAAAATAATATTGTAATTTCATGCCTTAAATTGTTATTGTCGGGCCTAATGGCTCCCAAACAGTTCTTTCTTCTCACGGAATGGTCAGTTATGGCCTATAACCTTAAGTTTACGTAATCTGACGTATTATCGAAAATAATTGGAATCGTACATAGGACCATAAGCCATGGATTACTTCCCCTCATTGTATACTGAAACATATGGAGATAACGAACAGTATTCCAGATCAAGAGTCCATAAAACAATACAAAATAGAAGCATAAAAAACACAGACCTCCAAAACATCAGAGGTCGGATCAGGTGCCATGGAGGAGTGAGCATCCCCTGCTGACTGGTCATACCCGCCGTGTGCTCCTTGTCATAATCTGGAAATAACGGAAAAAAATTTGTCATCAATTCACTAGTTCTATTTCATTGTAACATTTACCTTTCGTATATTGTGTTTATGTTTCACCATGGAATTGAATCAAAGTTCCTGTACTGAGTATAATGAATTTTTAACCCGTGACATGTTGAATGTGTCTATCTAACAGGACCCTCAGCAATAAGTAAAATTAGTATCCAGCACATTAAATAATGCTTGAATATAAAATCACTCAGTCTCCATGTTTGCAAGGTAATAAAATGTCTTTGGAATTTTCTTTTTGTTGAATTATTCGTGTTTCAAACAAATCAGAAAATCACTTAGATTTGATACTTATTTTTGTACTATCATAATTGAATTAGCCACCCCTCTTCACAAATTTGTATTTTTGAAAAATAAATTTGAGCATGACGCTGCATTAAATTCAACCCGTTTTCATTAAAAGGAGTTAATTTTATGATTTAAAAGTTTTTGATTATAACAATTGGGAAACATTATTTATTCGTGAAAAGATATTAAGTAAACAAAATTACAAAAGCCTTCATGTTTTTTTTATTCATAGAAATATCTCATACACTGTATATGTTCTCTAAGCAGAGAAAAATTACGTACCAAACTGGGATAAATATGAGTTCGTTAATTAAAGAGCTTTCTTTAGCTGATTTTCGCGACGTTCAAAGATTAATAGTTTTTTTGTTTGTTTGTTTGTTTGTTTGTTTGTTTGTTTTTTTTTTTTTTTTTTTTTTTTTAATATAAATATTCAATGTACTTTAACAAATTTCATTATAATTTTGAAAAAGTCCAATTACGATAAATCTTCTTCATTACGTCTTAAACACAAATTGAAAATGTGAAACATACAGATAGAGATTAGATGAGAATTAAATAAGGCGATAATGTATTTGTTTTTCTTTCACACATAAGATATAAACGAAGAATCTTATCATTTATCTTATTAAGGATCAAAAAAAAATTTTAAGTCTTCCAAAATTTAAAAATAAAGATTTAATTGCTCGTCTTCCTCACCTTTTTAAGTGGGTGTACTGGTGAACGTTTTCCTTGTACTGCAGGAAGACCAAAGCAAAGGCTGTATTTCTATGTTGTCGCATTATAAAAGCTGTCACAGAATACTTTTTAGTGGTAGTAATACAATAACAGATCGTGAGACAGGAGTATAGAAAAAATGTTGCTAATAGGTGAGTCATCTTTAATTTTTGACAAGAATGACTTTTTTTGGTAACAACTATTCGCTGTTTAAATATTTAAAATGCTATTCTAAAGAAATTTAATTCTTTTCAAATGTATTATCTTGATTTTTGGAAGTCATAGAATAACATTTAACATAAATAATTGCTTTATATACTCACGAACAATTGATTAAGCACAGTTTTTCTATCTGCTTCTGATTTGAATACTATATATTAACTTGAACGTGATAAACATTTTTTTTTCTTTTGATAAAAGGCACTTCTTTTCACTAAATAAGTAGAGACGAGCTTGTACAGTTTATTGAGTATCTGTTAATTTAGTATTTTAACTGATTTCAAACATTTAAATATGGTTTTTATTCTGAACTTTACATTCAATAATATACTCACAGTCAATAGAAACGCAACACCCTAATTTTAGGGTGAAAATTATATACGGGTTATAACTATGTACCAAAAAAGTTAGGACATCTTTTACTTTGCCAAATCAGTTATTTAACGGTTGAATGAATTTCTTTCCATTACCGGAAGTTGCTTTTTAGCCCTCTTAACAGAATTCAAAATTTTGCATTTTTAATAAAATGTTTTACAATATTTTGGGTTTTCAAGGTTTTGAAGCTGTTAATCATAAGTATTGTACTAAAATCCCGGGAAAAAATCCTTCTTTCTTTACCAAATGTGATGCCTATATTTCCTCAAAATGACTGATAGCAAGAAGGGGGATGTTTTAAGAGTTATGTGTTACCTTCTGAAGTTTAATGATAACATTAAAAATGAATATATCTAGGTAAAAAGTAAATTTACAAAAACTTAATTCTTCATTTAAACATTAAATGTTATTTTTAGACCTTAGAAAAAAACAAATACCCGGTAGTTCTTAAAACATGCCCCTTCCGACCATTTAATTAAAACATGCTAGTCCGCCATATACAACAAATGCAGCCCGATTTCTACAATGCATTAGGTTTGTTAATGTCTTAATCTGGGCGAAATTAATATTCTTGGGCATTTTTAAATGCATGTTTTTCAGATACTGCGGTCGAGTTTTCTCTAATTTGGCGTAATGTAGCAACTCTTGGATTTCCGGTCAAGAAACTGTCATTTATTCTATTGAAACACGTGAGCCTGATGAGTTGTTATATAGTGTACATTTGCATCTGCAGCTCTTTTTTCCTTATTTTGAGAATTTCCAGCTTGAGCAATGAAAATCAGCTATTTTGAGGAAATAAAGGCATCACATCCGGTAAAGAAAGAAGGATTTTTCCCCGGCATTTTAGTACAATACTTATGATTAACAGCTACAAAACCTTAAAAACCCAAAATATTGTTAAAAATTTTCTTAAAAATGCAAAATTTTGATTTCTGTTAAGAGGGCTAAAAAGCAACTTCCGGTAATGGAAAGAAATTCACTCAACCGTTAAATAACTGATTTGGCAAAGTAAAAGATGTCCTAACTTTTTTGGTACATAGTTATAACCCGTATATAATTTTCACCCTAAAATTAGGGTGTTACGTTTCTATTGACTGTGAGTATATATCAATTTTTATTTTTATTACGACCTGATAATTATTTTATAACGGTCATAGAGATGGAATCTACTCAAATGTGCAATTAAATTGTATAAAATTTGCCAGGATAAATCTTGATTTAAATATAAAAAAAACGAATGGATAATGCCCTGCGCTAAGAAAAGGTATGATTGTTCCTCTTTGAAAAGTAGAAACGCAGTTTTTAGGCTGGGAAAAATGAATAATTCTTCGATGTACTTTTAAACCAATGCAAGGCATGCTAACAATGGACGATAGATCTACGATATTTCCTTCTTCATCTAGAGTTGTAATTATGAGAGCGGACATTAACTTTGTATGGCGGTGTGAGTTAATTAAATCCTGTTTGGTATATTATCATTATCTTCTGTTATATCAAATATCATAGGTATAATTTGTACTTCAGGTAATCAGCTTCAGCTGTTGGACACGGAAGTAATTCATGTTAACTTTTTTTATTTTTTTTTCTTGTACGAACAATCCAAAAATGAATAAATGGAGAAAAAGAGAAAAGAGGAGAGAGAGAGAGAGAGAGAGAGAGAGAGTCTAACACAGAAGGTGAAATCCCACGTTCAGTTAACAATATATATTGCTAAAGAGGTTATCCAGTAATACTAGATCGAATCAAAGGAAATCTAAGGCTTTCCTTTACAAAAAGAGCGACATGCGGAAAAAAATATTCTATGAACGATTAATTAGAGATCTAGGACCGTTTCATTGACAAAACTCCCACCGGTATTGGTTTTAATCTTTATTTCAATGACAAACAATAAATTATTTCATCAAATGCGCGCGGTTTTCCCTAATTTATCTGTCATTTAGTACAGATCTAGCCAAGGGATAATGTCTTGAAATTAGCAGAGAAGCATATTTCTTTTTTGTTTTACTAGATTTAATTAACAGACAAAAAACCCTCTGGTAATTGATTCAGTGATAGTTAGACCTTATTATGTTTTAACTCAGTTTAAGGAAATTTTGATTTATCAGGTAGATTGGAAATCTATGATATACTGCAATATAACTTTATGAAATGCTTCAAATAATTAAGGTCTTCCGTCTTCACGGAAGACCTTATAGCTATTCTACTATTTCTTATTATTAAGGTCTTCCGTCTTCACGGAAGACCTTATAGTTATTCTAATGTTCCTTATCATTATCATTATTAAGGTCTTCCGTCTTACTTGCTTACATACGATATGGAATTTGTAAAATATGTTAAATATACTTTCTAATCCTCGAATTTTTGTTTACTTTTTCAGCTCGATTTTACGTTTTCTTTCCGGAATCGGATGGTGATCAATACTATCCACACGTTTCTATTCGTCAGAACTTCCGGTCGCTACCGGAAGCCAATTTAAAAAGTCCAATTTTTCAACTTTTTCTGTTTCTCAATATTTTTCTTTGATATTGGTATGGATATTAGAGACTCTTTCAAGAATATTAATATGTAATTTGTTCTTGAATCGAAATAGCCAGTCTCGAGATATTTGAATTTAAAAATTTGAAGCAGTTGTTCCCAATGGCGTAATGGTTAGCGCGTTTGATTTTCAGGCGGGCGACCCGGGTTCGATCCCTTATTATCACTTTTTTTGCTAGATTTTTTTTTTATTTCAGAATCGGACGGAAGACCTCTCGTTTCTGGCAACGAGATCGTTTCTAGTTAAGGTCTTCCTTTTTCAGCGGAAGACCTTACTGTTATTCTTAGGTTTCTTTTCCACTATTTTTATTATTAGGGTCTTCCGTCTTCAGCGGAAGACCCTTCTATTATTCTTATGTTTCTTTTTCAATTTTCTTATTATTAAGGTCTTCCGTTTTCACGGAAGACCTTCTAGTGATTCTACTGTTTCTTATTATTATTATTATTATTATTATTTTTTTTTTCCCCAAAATTTTGTGCACGCGATTTCTCGAAAACTATTCAGTGCTTTTCATTGAAAATTTCAGGAATTATGCGTCATTATATGAAGTTGTGGCATGGATAGGAAAATTTGGAATACTCACCTTTGGTTCCAAGTTATTGACACTTTTCTGATTTTAAAATGCAATTTTGTTTTCTTTCGAAAATGGTTTAAGATATTAACTGGAGACTTGTTAGAGAAGAAAGATGATACTTTAAGATATGACGAATCACCTATTCGTGTGTCGTCGGTACTTCCGGTTGCTGCCGGAAGCGAAATTAAAAAGTCCGTATTTTCTAACTTTTTTGTTTTTCAATATTTTTCATTTATTTTTGGAATGGTAATAAAGACCCTTCTTATAATGCTTACTGTATGATTTGTTTGAATATTGATAAATCCAAACTCTAGATATTAACAATTAAAAATCTGAAGCGAGTCCAAAATGGCGGCTGTCTCTGTCAACTCCGACATTTCGCAATAGTGGTTTAAAAACGTTTGCTAGAACGAAAGTTACATAAGGACAAATGAAATGTAAAGGAATACTTGGATTTTCACGTCATAGTTACGTTGCAATTCTGTGTCAAACTACGTTCTTCTTAAACGTCTTCTACAATTTTTTTGGTTCTAAATTTTTTTGCTTACATACTATATGGAATTTGTAAAATGTGTTAAATATACTTTCTAATCGTCGAATTTTAGGCTACATGAACGGTTTTTTATTTCATTGAAGCTATCACACGTATTGAATAGAACATTTCAAAGAAAAGGTGCCAAGATTAACTCGTGGCGTTTGCGAGAAATTATGAATAGTGACTAGCCTTTTATAATTCTAAAACAAATGCACTGTTATACAGAGGTATACACAAAAAGATTTAGAGCAGAGGTCCCAGTAGCGTAATATTTAGCGCGTTCGATTTTCATGCTGGCGAATTCAATCCCCCTTGAGTGCAATAATTTTTTTTTACTTTTTCATCTCGACTTTACGTTTTTTTTTAACGGAATCGGAAGACCTCTTTGCTCGCAACGAGATTTTTAGTTATTATTCTTTTTCTCTGCACAAATTTTGTGCAGAAGATTTCTCAGAGATGGTTCGATGGATTTGCTTCAAACTCTCAGGGTTGTTGCTGGATAATCTGAAGTTTATACCATCTGAAGGATTTTTTGAAAATCACTTCCGGTCTAGAGTTATCGCCCTTTTATTAAAATTCAGCGGACCTTCTTGTCCGTCATTGATCCCGAAAACGGCTTGAGCTACAGAGCTGAAATTTTCAGTGATGATAGAGGACATGTCCCCATGTTACTACGAGTTTGGATAGTTTCCGGAAATACCTAGGAAACTCGGTAGGGGTCAAAATTTAGGACACAAATCATGAGTGATTTTTTGGGACATTTTTAATGATATCTTTTAAAATATAATTATTTTGTTAAAACATACTGAACAACATTTGTGCAGAATGACAAGATCTTTAATATGTTATCAAGAAAAAAGTGCTGACTCATCACATAAGGGGCTAAAAGGGGCTAAAAGGGGCTAAAAGGGGC